TGTATTTTCCAAAGCTATGAGATTATGTAAGCCCATCTCTCACCATGCACCTGAAGGCCACCTTAGGAAAAGAAACCGTGGAGGATATGGTGGAGGCTATTATGCAGACAAGCAATTTTTTTTTTCTGAAGGAGCTATGCATTTCTTGTAGGTTCTATTTAAATGACTTAATAAGACAAAACTTTATATCAGAGTGGATATCCATTTTTCTTCTCTCCCTTCACAACCTAGAGAGGTTCCTGGAGAAAACTAGATCAGCTAGAGAACTAAAGTAAAGAAGTCACTGGGCACACCAGCTGGGTCTTAGACCAGCTGCAGTGAGCCACCCGAGACCATCCTAGATATCTTCTGGGGCCCCAAGAAGCAATTGTCAAGAATATGTGGCCCCTTGAGCCCTGTGCTGGGCTCAAGCGGAGGAACTCTTTGCCTCTCCTCTCAAGATAGTTATTCTATCCATTCATACTAGAGATGGGGAGGACTTCTACACCAATCCTGGGGAATTTCCTCTCCAACACTGCCTGTCGGGTTTCATCCTCCCATCATTCACTCATCCATGGCCTGACCACTGTAGGTAGCCAGGCTTATACTCCCATAGGCAAATGATCTTCCTTTAGGGGCACTGATTAGCCCAGGGTAAAAGACATACAGATATTGGCATTTGGAGATCCTGAAAAAAAATGTTTGGGTCTTACTTTATTCCTTATGGAGAGATCAAACCCCATTACACACAGTTATCTTTACAGCATCTCATTCTATAATATGAAGAGTCAATGATTACCAGACTATCAAGGAAAGCCTCTAACATAACAGTCAAAGGTCAAAATAAACAAACAGAAACAATTAAACTCAGTAGAAATAGAGACAATATAAGAAGCCAAAAGAAAACAGAAAAAAAAACGAACTAACAAAAAACCCTGTAATTAATATCCTTTAAGGGTAAGACATTGCATCACCAACTGAGAACAAAATGCTACTTTAAAAAAAGAAGCATTTAGAGAATAAGAAAGACTTTTCAGAAATTAAAAATGTAAGACTCTTTGGGGGAGGGTATAGCTCAAGTGGTAGAGTGCATGCCTGGCATGCATGAGATCATGGGTTCAATCCCTAGTACCTCCCCTAAAAATAAACAAGTAAGTAAAACTAATTATGTCCCCTCCAACAAAAATAAATAAATAAATAACTCTTCAAAATTTAGTGTTTTATTTTGCTCTCCCATATAATAAGCCTGAAAGTAAGAAACCCAGTGCTTCCACATTGTAGGCAGCAGACAGGAACAAGAAGAGTATGTTTCTTCTCTTTAAGAGACTTCAAGGAGACGTTCACTCATCATTTCCCTTCCCGTTCCGCTGCTCAGAACTTAGTCAGATGGATATACCTCGCTGCAAAGAAGGCTGGAAAATGAGCTGTTCAGTCTGGATCTCCAAGTAGCTATTAAAAAAAACAAACAAACAGGGATTCTACTATTAATTACCAACGAGAGACTAGATATAAAGGCCGCAGAAGAGCTCGAAGATAAAGTTGATGAAATGGCCCATAAAGCGAAATAAAAAGAAAGTAAGATAGAAAACAGTAGACAAAATGTAGGAAACGTTCTAGAAGTAGAGGACAGAGGGAGGGGTATAAATTCAACAATACCAGAAGCATAGCTTATAGCTAAAATCGTCTGAGTCTCTTAACTGAGAGAACTCAACAAGTGCCCAAATCTTTGAAGAAAAATGGTTCCCAC